AGTCCCACATCAATCATACTTTGGAAATCTCTGAACAGTAAAAATAATAGATACAGTAAATTAAAGGTTTTATATACGACACATCCTGAAACATGAGTAAAGTACTTTCCGAAATGTTAATGGACATTAAACTAACGAACTTCGATTAATATCCAATAAAGAGTTTAATGGAAAGGGAACGGGATTTTTCTCTCTTTTAAATGGAAAGCTGAGTGGAATGTGTTCATCGGAATGACATTGGTATTTTATGATTTTTTTTTAACCTCACATCATTTTATACGTTAAATGGCAAATGTTAAATATGAATAGGCCTTGGAAAATACCAACAGGAATCAAACTGTTTCAATAAACTTGAAACTTTAATTTCTATAAAACTGACGGGATGACATCAGATGTCACAGAAGCAATTCAACAGAAATATGAATAAATAGGGTTTTTTCCAAGAAAATTTAATTTTTCACTCTTTATATTGATAAAATCAAAAACGGCGTGGGGAACCTAGAAAGCGTGCAATGCAAAACGATAAAAACATCACTTGGAGAGTTTTAAATTCCTTTCAAAAATACCAGTGTCATATCACAAACCTTCAGATCTCTTGAATTCGACTGACATATTATTTTGTATGTCATTCGGATCCAAGCGATGGTCTTTATTCACGAATTGTGTATGTCCCTAATTGAAGCTTCACGGTCTGATTGTTGCAGAAACAAGCAATGTCTGATATCCAGGAAGAGATTTTTGTCAGTTGTACGTGATTTTCTTCAGGTAAACAAACTTTAATCAATTACAAAAGCCAAAACTAGTAGGACACAGTCCAGACAATAGCGAATTGAAAGTTTAGCGAAGAGAAGTATCTGATAGGCCTACCAACTTTAAGTAATCCAACTCCTCTACAATCTGTCATATGTTATTATAGAGCAGATACCCAAGCCTTCTTTGATCCATACATGTTAGTTTCCTACATTTAACAGTTTTTCCCTTTGCTAAATTTGTTCCCCTTTTTCAGTATTTTATAACACGCAACACGTGTGTATTTAGTGGAATACTCAGTGTTTCAGAAATATCACCGGGTTTTACAATCCCTTAATTATATAATACACATCTAAATTAGGCTTTCAAAATGGACACTCAGAACAAAAGCGGACAAGAAAAAAAAGTTAATTCATGAAAACTGTATAAATCTTAAGAAAATAGGAGGTATTGTCTTTTGGTAAAAATTAAGCATTAAGTTGTGTTTATTTTACTTATACAATATTTTAAATGATATCACAAAAATACCAATATTTTCTGGGAATACTATAGATATACATGTAAAAATAAAAAAATTAAAGGAAGTGATCGTGAAAAGAAAACAAGGTTGAATATCTGCTGCATGAGCATATATTAAATAGAGACACCTTTATTGAAGTACATGTGTACTAGTATTTCTAAAAATAAAAGTTCTCATTCTGACCCAATTTGGTCCCTTCATCCTTGACGTTAACGATTTTTTTATTTGTATTTTTTTTCCTTCTTGAGAGGGCATGCTTTTTCATTTTACCAAATCTTTTAAATCAATTTTTACAGATATTTTATTACAAATGGGATTGAAAATTGGTCAAGTAGTTTAGGAGATATCAAAAATATGAGAAAGATGACAGAAAGAGAGAAAAACAAACATACGGACCACTGTTCAGTTATGTTTGCGTATGTATGTATAAGCTAAAAATATTTCAGAAAACATGAACCTAGAATCTGGATATGGCCATGTAGCTCACTATCGCAACATCGCACTATCGAGGTTTGGGTCGATGACGTGATAATGCAATAACGCCTTGCTGCGATGACGATGATGCCATGGTGCGATGGCGATGGCGCGATGACGGTGGTACAAAGGCAGCTAGTTGGAACGATAGCGCTATGACACGATAGCGATGTTGCGATGGTACGATGAAGTGATGTTCTCTTTCGCCCCATCACACTTTGGCACCATCTACATAGCACTGTCGCGTCATCGTTGTCGCGCCATCACTTCATCTTTATCGTTCTATCATATTATCGCTCCATCTACTCTTCAGTCGATGCTCGAAGGTGATAGTGAACTACGCGGCCATATATGAACCTTTTAAAATTTATATATTTTCCGGTAGAAATGTGGTAGGATGGGTATTTCTTCAATCTACAGAGATTAATAATATTTTTCAATATAATGTCCAATTATAAATTTCTTTAATTACATATGTATTTAATTTCTTAATCTTGCTATTTCCATTTTGGTGAATATATTACTTATAAGTTGCATTTGATCCAAAGAAGATGACGCTAACTAATAGATCTACGAATATACTGAAGTATATATAAGATTGTAAAAACAAAATTATTACCCATGGATTCAGGGGGAAAAGAATAAAACCATCTCAAACTCTCTCTCTCTCTCTCTCTCTCTCTCTCTCTCTCTCTCTCTCTCGTTTTGATGTAAAAGAATCTTCACAACGTATTTAGCTTTGGAAAGACTTGGAAATTTGATATGCCATAAAGGGAAAAAAATGTCCTCATTAATTTTAGACAGGGAAGAGAGAAGAAAAAGTCCCTAAGTTTTTAAAGCAATCAGTGAGTCTACAGTATAATATATATATATTACATTTTCAATAGAATGTTGAAAGAAATACACTATGTCGATTTCCAACACTATCCAAAAGACCCTGGCAGGTAAATTAGTCGTGTTAAAATATTTGATTTTTTTATCTTGGTTTACAAGGCAATTTAAATATGAACGGGCAAGTAACAACTTCCTTTTAAGTCTTACATTTAGAAAAATAGCACCGAAGGACATTTTTAACATATTCGTTAAATGGCTCTTTATTTACACATAAATCTTTAATGTTTTGTAAATTGAAAGCATGGTTCTGCTTTTTACTAGTAATTTTATGCATTATACATGTAATACTAAAATAGGGAAAACACAATTTTATAATGTACCAAATTAAAATATAAGGATGTAACAAATTACAAGAAAATAAATACACACAAATTATATTTAAGAATTAAAACACATTTCATCGATATAAAAAATCTATTCGCTTGTGGTCATCTTTTATGTTTTCTTGAAGCTTTGTAAATATCAAGGGAAAAAATAAAAAAGAATATTCCAAAGAAATCTTATTTCAGATACTTGTTTTCTTCTTTTTACTTGTATTTCATTTTCAGTCATTATCGTCTTTAAATTATGAATTTACCCTTGTATGCACGGATCTAGAATGGGGGGGGGGGGGTCGTGGGGGTCCCCCTGGAATTTGCAGAGTAATTAAAAGTATATACAGAAGCAAATAAGAAATGACTTTGGAAACCCCTTTCCCCTAGAAAACGTGGACCCCACCATCACCACCACGGTTCTCGTTTGGAAAATGATTTTTTGTTGTTGTTGTTGTTGTTGTTGTTGTTGTTGTTGTTGTTGTCAAGAAATTTTCTGGGTTTGATACGTTTGGAAAGGGAATTTAGCCTTTTTTTTTTCTTTTTTTTTTCTTTTTTTTTTTTTGGCGTGTCAAGAAATTTTGGGGTTGGAAATTTTTCTGACTGGGATGTACATGTATTTATTTGACATCTCTCTCTCTCTCTCTCTCTCTCTCTCTCTCTCTCTCTCTGCTTTGGAGAAGATGCATAGAAATGCGCTCTCCATGAATTGTTACGTTCAAATTATATATCATCGTCATCAGTCATTACCGTTATAAGAATATAGTTTTTATTGAGATTTTTCATTGAGAATTATGTATGAGAGCAAAAAAATTACTGTATTTGACATGTTTAAATATCTTGATAAAAAATATATACTGGATACTCTCGACATATATACATGTATGCAACTAATAAAATATGTATTCCTTTTTTATCACTCCGTTAAAGAGAACTTTAAAATGCAATAAAAGTTACTAAAAATTGGATTGGTTTACACATCTACCAACGATCCGTGGTTCTAACGGAGCTTTGTTCTCTCTTTGTTAGTTTATTCAGCAGAATCTTGACAACGGTTTACATCAAAGTGCAAAGAAGGTAAAGTTTATCATGTTATGTAATCGAAAAACTAATAAATCACGTGAAAACAGTTTTAATTGGACCTAGCCTCAATGTCAGATAAAGTCAGCCATTTTTTTTAATAAAGGAAGAGGTTACTGAGTATATCTACACTGTACATCTAGTGTAGTGCATTGAATTTTAAAATAAAAAGGTTCTATAAATGGAGAATAGGGGATTATTTAATCATTTATTGAGTTTACAAAATATTGCTTGACGCACTTTAAAAGGAAATAAAAATACAATAAATAAAACTGAATACTTTGTAAACATGATAAATAATGTATAAGAATTTTAAACAGTATTAAAGCAGGAAACGGATTTTAATGATTGGTTTGTTGCTCTGTATATTGATTTTCCAAACGCAAGTAAATTTATATCAGTTGATTTAAAGAAAAAAAAAACATTTAGGTCTACTTTGCAATCGTAAAATATTAATTCGGTGAGCTTTTGAATTGCTACACGTTGTACTTGTATTTGTTGTCATACATAATATGAATGAATATGACTGAAACATAAAGAATTTAAGGTAAAATATATACAAGAACTACAGGTATTAATACCACTTGTGTAAAATTATTTTGTTTTACAACAGATATATGTTGTTTTGCACCCTCGAATACAATACAACTTGATTCCAAATAAATTCTACCATAATAATTTTGTGACTATTTTGAAACTGGTAAACAGATCTATTGAAAACTGCCGCATGCCAAATCAGTACAAATTTTGCATACTCCGTGTTTTTAGCTGTTTAAACATAACCTTCAACTACTGTATATATTTTTATACTTGTGCTTAATTCATAAGTCATTTTTCTGGTATAAACTGACACTGGGACAACATTTACATTTTTTAAATTTTTCTTTCTTTCTTTTTTTTTTTTTGTGTCCATGATTCGAATAATGCAAAGGACGACTTACTTATATGATTAGATGATTGGTAGGTGGCGTTTTAATCGCCTGGAAATAACATACTGTTACTGTAAGTGTTTTATTGTTTATTTTATAACAGTTATGATGTGTTTTGACGTAAATTTTCATTTAATATATGAAAACAATACTCTTTTTCTCTTTGTACTCCATAATCTTTCGTATTTATTTGGAAGTTTGTTGAACGTTTCTCAATATTCCTGATGCAAGTCACAAGTCGTTATCGACTTTGCTTTTGTTTATTATAATAGTTATTTATAGGGCCTAAATGAAAACAAACTCACATACATGTATGATAAGGCGAACATCGATCATTTTATTTCACTTTAAGTTTAGAACTTAGACTATTGTAGCCTTGAGATTGTATCTATGTCGGTCCTGTATGTAGGACTGGGACGAGATATCGATTCAGTGCGAGGATGATACGCATATCGATGCGTATGAGGAAATATCGTCAGAAAATTCTGACATGTTTTTCTTTGTTTACTTAACATTTTGGGCTAAATATATAAAATATGCTAAGTATAAATATGAGATACATAGTAATTAATACCACTTGTGTAAAATTATTTTGTTTTACAACAGATATACAACTTCTTTTAATAAGTTATTCTTATTTGTTAAGAAATGTTTCGTTCATTTTAATACAAAAAACATTTTATAACAAATTCAACATATCAGGATACATATCGTATGGTAGCTCAAATATCGTGATACGTATCGATATAGAAAAAGTTGTATCGTCCCAGCCCTACTGTATGTATTATTATTGAATTTATTCTCGTTAGCATGAAAGGTATTTTGATATTATTTCTATTTATTTTTCAAAAGGTCATCATGTCTTACATGCTTCAACATCTTCACAATGGCTGGCAGGTCGACCAGGCCATATTAGCAGAGGAGGATCGCGTAGTGGTGATAAGATTTGGACACGATTGGGACCCGTCTTGTATGGTGATGGATGAAACTCTGTACAAGTGTGCTGAAAAAATGAAAAACTTTGCTGTGGTTTACTTAGTGGATATTTCAGAAGTACCAGACTTCAACAAAATGTATGAATTGTATGACCCTTGCACCATAATGTTTTTCTATAGAAACAAACACATCATGATAGACTTGGGAACTGGTAACAACAATAAAATAAACTGGTCAATGGAGGATGTGCAGGAATTCATTGACATTGTGGAAACGGTATTTAGAGGAGCAAGAAAGGGAAGAGGTCTGGTGATATCACCCAAAGACTACTCAACAAAATACAGATACTGATGGTCATTCATTTTATCATTTCATGAATCATTCAAGGACCGTGTCATTGAAAGTAGATCAGAATTGATACTGTCTTGTACCCTGTACAAACATTGCATTTGTGTTGTATGATTTTACTTTCCTAAAAAATGAATCTATATTTTATATAAAGTTTATTGCAGATATAGTGTTATTGTTTCTTAAAAAGATTTGAAATTTATTTCAGGTTATTTGGGTAGTAATTTGTCGTTAAAAAATTGTCAAAAACTGTATTAATAGCTGTTTGTCTGTCTGTTAACTGTATAATAAAATTGCTGTACAATTTAATTTATAAGAATTGAGTCCATTATAGCTTTGGATATATAATAAGTAATCAATCATGAAAAATGTTACATGAAATTGTAACAGGAAGGAAGAAAATGTGACCGACCAGACAAGGATTCAAACCAAGGTCTAATGAAGGTCTCCTGGGGCCTGTTTTACAAAAGAACTTACAACAAAAATTTGACTTGATTGTATTATCATGTAAAATTAATTATTCTTTTAAAAATTGCTTGCATTAAAATATTTTTTTTCTAAATTCTTTTTTAAAGGATTAAAATCATTTGTAAATGATTGTATTAAAGAGAGTTATTAGCAAAATTACATTTTGGTCTTTGTCATAATTAAAGTTCTTTTGCAAAGTTGGGCTGTGAACTTGAAATAGGTACCTCTAGTAATATTTTAGAGCCATCTGGCCAATCAACATTCCATCCTCCTTAAATGTCTGTTTCCTTTAAAAAACACCAACCCTGGTTCATCCCTAGCTTGTTTTTCACCTGTCACATCTGGTCATTGCACAGAATGTAACAGGAAGAAAGAAAACGAGACAGATCAAACCAGGATACAAACCAAGGGTCCCTGAACTATGGATAAGTGCTCTACGAATAATATCGGACCACATCATACCTGTCTGACTTCCACAAATAGAGTACCATTTAAATGACGATGAACAGCTTTGCAGTATTAAAATGTTACCATTTGAAGTGGTTGAGCATTCAAACTAGCCAAAGTTGTTCCTTTCACTTGTGTAACAGGAGAAAAAAAAAACATGACAGACCAGACTAGGATTCAAACCTGGGCCCCCCCCCCCCCCTGAGTCTCCAGTCAGGTGCTCTACAAACTGAGCTATCTGGCCACCAGCAATCGAATCTATCTGACCGCCACATTCCTCCCTTCTTAAGGTCTTTGGCCCCTGAAGACACCAACATAGGCTCTTCCCTGGCAGGTCTTTCACCTGTCACTTCCAGGGCATGACACAGCACGAAATGTAACTGAAGAGGAGAAAAATGTGATGGACCAGACTGGGATTCAAACCCGGGCCCCTTATATCTCTAGTCAGGTGCTCTATTGAATTCGTGTAACTGCCACACTTGCAAACACTTCTGTTAGGTGTCTCATAATTTGCATGAGTAAGTAAGTAAATATTTTATTATAGTGACGTGTATATATACAAAAACAATAGTAGTTACAATAGAAATAGATTTACATTACACCCAGCCCATTGGACCTATTTGTCACTTCAGCCTATAAAACATATTTTCATTTTCTTAAATGAATTGTGTAAAAAGATTTCAAATTTCATGGGAAGTTAACTCTTAAACTTAAATCAACTGCTATAAAAATACACATGTACGTTATATACAAGATTTAAAAAAACATCCATTTAGCCATAACTAGGACTTCAGACATTGATAGAAAGGCATTTGAGTAGAAGGAAGGGTAACTCTAGGTAGAGATGTCAATTAAATTACTAGTTTCTAGTTGATCTTCAGTCTTGAGTTGAACTTTCTAAAGTCAGATGCTTGTAATATCCACAGATAGTAAATAGTTAGCCATCTTTCTACCAAATTATGGATCAATCATATGTACCAATATCTGGTACATTTATTTCACTCTCATATAAAAAGTGCTACATACAGTAAAAACGCTTATAGCAATCATGCTTATAATGAATTGACACGTACAGCTAAGTGATTTTCATTCCCCGTGACTTTAAGATATATTTTTAACATGGATATAATGAATTACACTTACATGTATAACGAAGCAAAATCATCTGTTCCTGGCACTTCATTATAAGTGTGTTTTACTGAATTTTGAATCTGTGATCGTTCTCAACATTTAATCATATGCAAGAAATGGGCAGGTTAATCTTGTAATTTGCTTAAGTACATGTATGCTTGTGGCATGTACATGTATGCTTCTAATAGGTGCAATGAATGAATGAAAAAAATCCATTTCTCAAATTTACTGGGACATATATTTATTACAATTAATTTTGAAAAAAAAAAACTTGCATAATTATTTTGGCACATTGAAAGATAAATGCAAAGCAAAATATAAAAATTTAGTTAAGCATCAAGATTTCCTTTTATTTTTAGAAAAAAGATGTTTAAATTTCTCATAAGCTGCAGTATTGATGATTGTCTCCACTAAATAAGAATGTCCGTCCTCACCATCTCTTGTTGAAAGCACTGTGGCATTTTTATACAGCCAACTGTAAAGACATCAAAATTCTTAACTTTACAAGTGAAATAAATTAATGGACCAAAGGATAACCATGAAAACAAAATTGGTTAAATGAATTCATTTCAAATGCCTTCAAGGGTATTTTGTTTGTAATCCGCAGCATTAGCTCTGACTCTACCTTCTGAACTGAATTATGGAAGCTCTAAATTTGGTCAAGGTGAAGAAATCTTTCAGGTCAAGGTCATACACAGTAGTAAAACATAAAATATGAATAAACCACTATAGGAATTTGTCAATGAAAGGAATATTCCTGTAAAACTTTAAGCGTACTTTCTTCTACACATGTACAAACATGGACCAAAGAGGTTTATGTTATGTAATATTGTATATGAACTTTGATAAATCTGACCTTAAGTGTTCCCCTCCCACAGGTATCCTGAAGGTTTTCCTCATTCTCCCGGTACTTTTAATGATTGCCTCCTCCAGCTTCTTTGTAAGGACATCTATTCCTGTACCAGTCACTGCTGATATATACAGGCCTTCTGAGCTTTCATGCTCACTGTCATAGACAAAAGAAATTCTCCCAATTTGTACAAAACTTTGATAATTTCTGATGGCCCCCATCAAGTTATATGGCTTCTAAAGTTCAATTGTGTAATAGCCCGGAAGATCAATATACTTATCTGCACTTTATTTATTATTTAAAACATGTATAATAAATGCTGAATATTGCAATCATTACTTACAGCTATTATGATCACTATCACCACAAAGCTTCCAATATCTATTTTCCCTTTTCATGTATAATACCTTTTGATTTTTATTTCCCCCATGGAAGATAATTAATCAGGCACTTTTAATACCACATGCTTCAAATAATCTAACAGAGTATCAATTGTATCTTGAATTTCTCCATTTCTTTAAAAGATATATGTATGACTTTACCTTAAAAGGTCACATTTATTGTTGACTACCAACATATTCTGTAGCTTCTCCTCAGGTAATAGTTTCCTCAATGTGTTTATAACGTTTTCATTTTGTGCCACAAGATCTGGATGACTAGAATCTCTGACATGGAGAATAACATCCTGAAAATAAGTTATTACTGGTTACCTCCCCTTATACTACTATAAATAAGAAATATACTAACACTCTCTCAGTCCTTAAATTTCACTTGACTTAACTATTGTTGCCCCCAGAGCAGGTGTTATTTTCATGTTCTTGTAGCCAACCTTGAGATAGGCCAATCAGTGACATTATCACAGAAAAAATACAGCTTTTACTGTACTTTAGGAGGCAGATGACAATTGTAAACATTGGCTATCAACTGCCAATTAGTGACATGGGTGGAGTCTTGATCATGAATTAACTTTCATATCAGTACATGTATTATAAAAATGTATATACATGTAGTTACCAAGATTTGAATTACTCTTGGTCAAACCTATTTCCTTAGACCTGATCAAGGGAATCTGAATATTGCTAAGTCTCTCCATGATGTACAGGATCATGTACTGTTTTATAATTTTCTATTGTGACTGAAAAGTACACCACAACAGACAGAAAGAGATTTGTCAAAAAATGTTCTTCAAATTTGATAGGAAAATACTTACGGCTATTAGCGCATCTTCTAAGGTGGCAGAGAAAGCATCCATAAGACTATTTGGGATGTCCGATATAAAACCAACAGTGTCAATAAAAAGAACCTTTTGAAGATTTGCCAAGTAACCCTGGTGAACAGTGACATCTAGTGTTGCAAACAATCGATTCTCTGGTGTTAGAGACTCATCCTCCGTCAAGGCTTTTATCAGAGTTGTCTTTCCTTGGAAATCAAACCAAATCATGAAATTTTTTTTTCAGCTGATCCAACTTTCTAGAAACATGAGCTACTGTTTAAGAATCAAAATTTTATTGTGCTAATTTTCTTCCTGTATATGATAACCTGATGCAAATGGCTTACCACAGTTTGTATATCCAACCACGGCTACAGTGGGGTATTGCTGTTTGATTCTGTTCTTCCTCAGAATTTCTCTCTGTTGTTTGACTTTATCTAATTCTCCTTTCAGTCTTCTCTCCCTTGCCTGAAGTTAACAATTCACAATTAATAAGGGTGGAGGTAGGAAAGTCTGTTAGAAGCGGACATTATGCTGTTGAATACAACAGGGGATTGATCATCGTGGATTTTATAAGGACAGATATAAGAAAGAATTTTTGGTAAAATTTCTTGCTGAACTTTTGCTGAACTACCCTAAGAAGAGCTAGTATTCATATCTGATTACATTTATGTGTTACATTTTTATTGATGCTTTTCACTTTAAGCCAACTCTTCTTATTAAACTCAACCATTTCTTTCGGATAATCATTACTTGTGGAAGCTGATAAAATATTCTAAACAAAACATTCCTTATAAGACAACCTACTATCTAAAGTTCAACCCTCAACAATACATTGTACTTTCAGCATACTGATTGTTTGAATCAATTGATTGTCACTAGCGTAAATAATGTTATATGCCTCAGAAATCTTGTGAGATTTAGAGCTTCCTCTACTTTACCACAAAAGAGTGGTAGTAAGTTAGATAACTGTGAGGTAATCACGATAGTAAGTACATGTATTCACTGCCATTTTCACTGTCTAATAATGAAAACAGATAAACTTACTGAGACTAGAGCCTGTCTTTTCTGTATATAGGTGAATCTGAACCCACCAGACACAACATAATGTGTCTTCCCAGTCAGGTGGTCATGTTGACCTTCATTTATCTGTTCCAAACGACCCCTGAAAATATATTTATAGTTGCAAATATGCCTAACAAAAGTCCTGGTTTCTCTCACTGTCATTTATATTTGCCAACAAAGTTGAAAAAAGTGTATATTTCACCCATGTTTGGTTTCCTGCCAACAAAAAATTCAGAAATCTCCTGATGGTAAAAAATATTAAACTTTATTAAAGATATGCCCTGAGACAAGAAAGCATAGAATAAATTCTGCATCAGACAGTCACACAGATGCATAAGTATTTCTTTAAGAATTCTTTAACCATAATGGGGGATAAAGTAGTATCTTGATTGGATATATTGTAAACGTACTTTTTTCCATGGGGTCGTAATTCTGTGGAATCACAATTTATGTTCAATCCACGGGAAGAAAATTATGCAGATTTCTTAAATTGCTTCTATGCCTTAAATGTACTTCATGTATGCTGGGATAAATTTTGGCAGAGAATTTGTAACGGCGTACATAGTGTAAATTAATACCACGTGGAAAAAAAAGTACTTCTACAGTATATATGTAAATATTGCATGAGATTAGATAGCCAGAGGTAAAAGTGTGATCATTAAATTCAAGTTGGAAATGGTATAAACTCTGAGCTCTATATTTGAATTTAGTGACAAATGTGATGAATACATCTGGAAATGTAAGCTGTTCAGTTTTCTGTAAGTACCTGATATAAGGAATCTCTGCTAAAGCAATCTGTAGTTTGGCCTCTCTGGTTTGTGCGTATTCTTTAAATATGTGGAGAACAAGAGTATACCTGAAAATTATGTAAATATAAGTACTGACACTATGAAAGGATGATGTGCCAAAACTGCTTTCTGCGGCCCCTTTTTCTACGACGAATTATACTTATTCTACAACAATTTTGATAGTTTTCAAACAAAAGGGAATAAATACGACGCTTTTTGAATAGTTTTGATAGTTCCAACACATTTTAATTATGAGGATTACTGCATTATCTATGATTTTTAAGACCCCATGAGAGCAAAATTCGACTTGGTTTGTGACAATAGGATCTTTTATGAAAAGAGAATAGGCGGGTCTTAGTACAATAGAGGTATGCATGTCTGAGGAATCTACCTTATATGGCTATTGTTATTTCGCACATAGTTGCTTACCCAATCCAATGACTGAACGACAAAACAAGGTTTACTACACGTTTACATTTTATCACAGACACATGGCTTAGATCAATTCACACATTATCTCTACTACATTTCAAACTTTTAATGGTCAGCAAAGGTTTTTTATACATGATAATACGTATGGGACCTCAGTGTTAACCGTTTTGGGTCGCGAAATTCACAATGAAACATGTATTCACTCGGGGAATACTTGTAGCCAATGCCCAACAATGCTTTACAAAACTATGAAATTATATAATGTATATTAATAAAAAAAATTGTAATTATGAGCAGAGATATTGTAGATTCGTGTCTAATCTGTGACTCAAATGAATAAAAAAATGTTTATCGGAAAACAAGAAAAATAATTATGCCTTTTTTCCAAGCATTAAATTTCCTTGAATTTTTGTAGTACTCACGCGTAATGCAACTGATTTAGCTGATTGGTCGGTTAGAAAGTCACGCCGGTGCCTCGATTAGCATATGAATTTATTCTTATGTCAGAAAAAAATGTTTCGTTGATCTGTTCGTATTGGGGAAGATCAACCAGATTTTACAATGTTTTAAACACAACATTTGAGCGCAGTTAGGTACAATTTTCTCCTTTCACATATAGGTAGATTTCAATAAAATACAGCGACCATCCAAAGGAGAAAAATGTACCTACTTGCGCTCGTATATTTTAAGGGCTTCAAAGAGTGGGACGGGGCCAAAATTCAATGGGAATTGGATGTATACATGGTACCCCTACTCAAAATAAAGATAAAAATCTTCCAAATTATGTTTCCATTTTCGTTAAAAGTACTATTCCATGCAGTACACATATCAGTGATTAAGTGGATGCAAAAATTAGAGTAAAATTTAGATACAGTATTTTATTTTTTGCTAACTTATCCGGGGCCATATGGCACATCATCCTTTGTTTGGTTTTTTAAATCATAAATTTAAATCATTTAAGTTAATGTGTAGCCTTTATTTATAAAGTTTCAACTTTATAATGCTTACAACAATAAGGATAGCAAGCTTACTGGGAATATGTTATTCCTTTTATACATGTATGTACCTCATAATCTCACCCTTTTCAGATTAAATATAATTGAAATTTACTTAAATTAATCTGCTAATAGTTTAGAACCTGTCAAATACTGGCAGTTTCCACGAACCCTGCAGCATTGCCACTTGATTGATTTTTAAGACGTCCACATTTACAAACACTGCTGAGATGTCCGTGCGACCTTTGATTAGCTTTGTCAATTCCTCTAATTGTCCCTTCATAAATATAAAGCCTCGATGACTCTTTACTTTTATGATCTTCTGTAAATAAAATATACAATATCTGTTTATATCTGCATTGGATGACAGGCTGACAACCCAATCCACAAATAGAATTTATTCTGTGCAAGTTAGAAAAATATTTCATCAACTATGTGTAATAAGGGGCCCATGGGCCTTGACAGTCACTTGAGTTTCATGGTTTTCTCAGACTGTGAGCACTTTGGGCTTGGAACTGGTCTGGATTTATGTGACATTTTTTGAGTTTGGTGGGAACTCTTTCAATCATTATCACATTCATTTGGCTTGTCTGCTGTAAGTTCAGGAGTAAAGAAGACAAGGGCACCACAAAGTGGAGCATCCCCTCGCAAAGGGCATATCTATAAATCAAGGCAGCATTTGACATTGATCCCGATGCAAATTACGTCACTTCTGTTTCGCACAAAGGACAAACTAACCTACTCACCCACACACAAGCGTGTTACTATATCCCGTCCAACTCCGTTGCGAGGGGTTAATAAATTTAAATATACACTACATGTATATGACCAAATTAGCTCCCACCCTTAGGCCTGATCCCTGGCCCCAGGAAGTATCAAAATTATTTTATAGATGCATTAGAGGGCTATACTTTTCATTATACCGGTAATCATGCTAAGAATTTGCTTGTTACATGATGTCCATGGGTCAATATCAATATATGACAACCTTAGTCCTACCCCATACATGTGACAGAACTGAAAAATCACAACTGGAGATTTGAAATTTTTCAGCTGGAGTTTGGGTCTCAAAGCTGGAGATTTTTTATCGACATTTTTCAAATCGCAAAAGACCATCCAACCCTCTAAATTCAGGAAAAAATACCTTCTCCCAGTTTATTACTTTACAAATTTTATTTTATAAAGTTGTTGTCTAGTTTTAAGAAAAATATGATAAAGTTTTTATTCAAATGAAGTGAAATTGAGTATTCAAAATAAAATCAATTCATTTACTAGTAAATTAATTAAGAGTTAACAGCATCATTAAAACATTGGATAAAATTTTATTTTTGATTTGGTATTGATATATCAACTAGTAAGTGAAGTAAAACATTCTAAGGTTTTATATAACAAACTCTATGTCAGTAATTTGTTTAGAATATGTACAGATGAAATAAAAGTACCCTCTCAAAAAATATACAAATTAGAGTCAGGTATATTTTAGCAACACCCTGTAGTTTGATCTATTTTTAACTAGAGTGTGACCTACATTATAACTGTATCTTTTAATGACCACTGCAGCATTAGAAGACGGGCAACTGGGTATTTTAGCAACTAATTACAATGTTTTGCATTCAGTAATAAGCATCAATGGTCATTTATCAAGTTGATATATCACTAATTTTTACAACCTAATTATACGACCTCATGTTGATTCCTACGAAGCCTACGACCTCATGTTGATTCCTACGAAGCCTACTGCTGTGAAAATGGCGTTGTTATCTCAATTTCTTTTCATTCTAAGCAATTATATGAAACATGATAAAAAATATTGCAAGTAATATTTAATTTGAAGAATTTTTAAAACACGGAAGATTTAAAAATTAATCGGGAGGGGCGGAAGGGGGGGGTGAAATATCGGGAGATTTTGTCTCCCGCCGGAAGAATCACACGTATGCTACCCTAGGCCCAAAACCAGGTGCCAGAGGCCCATAAATTTGGAAATTTTGATAGAAGATTTATTATAATCAAGTAAACATTTTGTCTGCCAAATCTCTATGAATAAATAAAACTTTCAAAAGTATAATGTATTTCAATATTTGGCCAAGTTAGCCCCACACTACCTTGAATGCTGGACCCAGAAGGCACCTATTTCATAATTTTGGGAAAGGGATAAGTATTCATTGTAAGCATGCAAATTCTTTACCTATAATCCTTTCACCTAAGAATGCTTTATTGCACATGTGGTTCTGGAGAAGAAGTTGAAAATGTAAAAAATTTACACATGACACACAATGGATAAAAACAGATAGCAATTGGTTACCCAAGTGACTTAGGTCACCTAACAAAGCTAATAAAAATAATTTCCTTTAAATCAAAACCTATCAATTTTATAAATTTAAATCCAGAATATTATTGCTTCTAGCAACTATTTTCTCCTTCAGAAATGCAGTCATAAAATCTTACTGTATCAGCTACTCTCCATTTTGGCAGAGAATGAACCAGAGCGCAGGCCTCACTCAACTGTAGTTCTGGTGTAGTTGATCGTGGTTTTTCTCTTCCCCATCTAATGGCTTAAAGGGAAAAAAATCATCTTTAAAAATGGATGAATTAATTTCAGTCACTTCTAGTCAATATATCAATCATCCCTGATGTAAAAATTAAACATTTGTATTTAGACTCAACTATGAATGAAACTTTTGCTCAAACCTGGATGAATGACCATTAGTGAATGATGGACGCCATCGTAGTGAAAATGTTCCTGTAAACACTCTTCATACTCTTTGTCTTCTTCTAAAACTTCATCTAAAATCAACACTAATTTTGTGAACAAGCATAAAAACAACAATGGAATATGCTTGCATTATTTCAATTCAATTCAAGATATTTATTGAGTATCACAGGCCACCGGCCTCAGTACAAGTTTTATATGCTATTTGACAAAAGAGACAGTACCTGTTTTCTCTAGGAATACCCTTAAATCGACCATGTTCAATTTCCAAACAGTGACTAGAAGTTCTTAATTTACAAAGTGATTCTCTAAAAGACGTATTGTTTATAACATCTATGTACCTTTCCATGTTCAATTTCCAAACAGTGACTAGAAGTTCTTAATTTACAAAGTGATTCTCTAAAAGACGTATTGTTTATAACATCTATGTACCTTTCCGGTTCAAAAAGAATTTTGAATTTACAATAAAAATCTAATTTACTATAGGAGCTCAATGATGAGTGCCATTCCTGCATATAGTTATCCTGTACTCTTTGTACAAACTCTTTTAAAAATAATACATTATCACCTACACCTTGATATAGCCATACATAATGGAAACCATATCTAAATAACATTGACTTCACTTCTGATGCCCAGTTACCTCTAATTCTACCAACATTGTTTAACTTAAGTAAAAATAAGTAACATCTTTTTGGGTATCTATTATCTTCCATACAAAGTATCTTTAACCAATATGCAATAAATTTCTTAAAGTACTGTACCATAAGAGGATATCGCCCTAGTTCTCCTAAGACAACTATTTTAAGTGTATTGTTCTTGAGTCTTAATACTCTTCTACAAAACTTCGTATGTATAGATTCAATACATTTAGATAACTCAAACCCCCATATTTCAGCACCATAGGTCAAAATAAGTACAATCATTCTATCAAAGATGCAAAAGATTTGTTTATATGATGCATTGTACCGGTACATCTTCATAAATTTATATACAGTAAACAATGCTTTTTCTGCCGACACACACAGAGACTTCATTGTCAATTCCCATGTCATTGTACTTGTGAAATATAACCCTAAATATTTGAAAAATGGTACAATTTCAATTTCTTTTCCATCAAAAAACCATTTCTCTGTACTTTTTGTTATACCTCCACGTCTAAACACCATGATCTTTGACTTTTGTAAATTAATTTTCATGCCATATTTATAGAAAATTTTTTCTAATACTTTAATTTGATTTTGTAAATTAATAACAGTATCTGCAAAATTTACTACATCATCGGCAAAAAGTAATTGCATAATGTTAGGAAATGACTCATCAATGTATATACCTTTACATTCCATTGATTCTAATAATTCTGTAAGTTCACCAATAAACATGATAAATAAGAGCTTGCATTAGTAATTTATTCTTCCAACACCTGTGAAGCTCATTTGAAATTGAAATTCATACCGTATATACTCGCCTAAAAGTCAGATTTTGGGGAGTTAAAATTTAGTCCAAAACTCTTTATCGGACTTATATGCGAGTTATAAAAAGATTGGTATTTTAGTGGGTCAATCCCTCTGATTTAAGCTTAAAAAATACAACCGACTTATAGGCGGACCGACTTATAGGCGAGTAATACAGTAATTCAAATGTGAACTAGGATTATAACATGTAACTCCTGTGCAACAGAGAATTTTAAAATTAAACCCAGGTTCCAAATACAGTATTATAATAAGTGGATGCTCAATCAATTGTGTCCCTCAGTGATCAATGCAGCAAGATCTATTTCAGAACAATATATATTTTAAACAATTTACAACTTACCAATTTCAGGAATTTCCAATGACTGAGCCTCACTGCTATCTAAGTCTTCCTCTCCTTCCTGACCACTTTGATGGCCACTCTGCTTCCACACAGTATTTGATGTACTAAAGGAACAAAGTGGCATATATGCTGAAGTTCCTATATCTTTCCTCCGACTGTATATTTGCTGATTAAGTGTAGAAAAATTACTGAATTTTGACGTCCTTTTAAACATGAATTTTAATGGTTTCTTAACTGATTTCATCCTGCAGAGCTGACACACCCCTGTCAGATTGAAGTATCTTGAAAACATTATGCTAGTTGAGTTGAACAAATTTCTTCTCCAGAGGAAATTTAATGTTTTCACATTTTTAATGAATACATTAGAAAGATATGATCCTTGAATTTTTTGTGCAGTTGATCTTCATACTACCCCAATATATTGAGATAACTGCTGATTCAGAATTACGTTGAGCTATGAATTAAATATCTACAAAATAAATAAACAAATAATTAGTGGTGTTCCAATCATCGATTATAATCGAAAATCAGTCGATTGCTGGCATAATCCAAGCGCTCGATTACAAAGTTTTAATTCCGATTACCGGTAATCGGGTTCAGGCACATAGCCAGCATGGAAATAAAGTGTACGCAGAGAACAGCAGGGGGAGGTTCCAACTTTCACAAATCAAAATTTTATCAATATATTACCAAATTACCATGATTTAACTTTACTTCAACAAGAGGCCCAAGGGCCTTAACGGTCACCTGAGTATGATACAACAATTTCAAGGATGCATAGAGTATAAAATGAACTGAAAGGTGAAGCTTTGTTGCCCAAAAGCAAGAAAAATAGGGTGATCATGATCAACAAAATAATTGGTCTTAATATTCATTGACAGTTCATAAATTAGGTTCTAATCTGTTCCCCATTTATCACTATCACTATACAGTATATTAACAAATTATCAATGCTTCTGTACTATTTTAATCCTTTGTTGAAATCTCTTACATTGGCATCTCTTGGTCTTTGATGAATATTTAATAAGACAAGTTATTTTTGTCTCATTTTTATTTATCTACTACTTACAAGTCTATCTGATCATTAAAACTATGAAAGTACTTTTTGTATTATACAATAAAAGTTTTTGCATAATTCTCTTGTTCTATTTACCTTTCAAGTACATTATTTTCAGTGATAAATTATCAAAAGTAAATGGCAAAGGGGAATAACTCCTCTCAGTAGAATACAAACTAATAGAGCCCTGGCCAGGACCAGAACACTTGACCAAATGGTCCAGATGTTCAAAAATCTGGTAAAAATTCCCTTCCTTATAAAAACTTTTACTCTGTTTGCCTCAGATATGCCCAGGTGCGGAGAAGATTTTTAAATAAATAATGCATTTTTACTACAGATTCACTATATTATCAATAGAGCCCCCCCCCCAACCCCCCACCCCCAAAACACCAGAGCTTCTGACCCTGGGATCATATGTTTGCTCATCATCACTTTGTTTATCTGCTTAACACTAAGGAGCAAACAGGATTATTTAATAGAATTAATGCATTTTCACTAAATTATCAAGAGCCCCACCCTCGCACCAGCACATCTGACCCAGGGGTCATGAAATTCACTACTCTGGAAGAAGCACACTTGCTCATCATAACTATACACTTAGCTTCTTTGCTTCTTTAACCAGAAGAAGAAAAGAATATTTTCAAAGAAATTTTGCTTTTTCACTTTATAATCAATAGAAGCCCCCCCCCCCCCCCCCCTTCACCAGAACCCTTAAACCTGGGGTCATAAAATTCACAATTTTGGAAGAGGCATCCTTGTGTATCATAACTCATAACAATGTACTTTAGTCTGTTTAAGCAATACCCAGGGGCAGAGAAGAAGATTTTCAAAGAAATAATTCACCTTCACTATAGGATCTATATAGCCCCGCCCTAGCACCAAAACTCCTGTCCCCGGGGCCATGAATTTCACAATTTTGGAAGAGGCATCCTTGCTTATCATAACAATGTACTTAGTTTGTTTAAATAATACCCAGGTGCAGAGAAAAAGATTTTTAAAGAATTAAAACATTTTCACTTTATAATCAATAGAGCCCCGCCCTGACACCAGAACCCCTGATCCAGGGGCCACGAATTTCACAATTTTGAAAGAGGCATCCTTGATTATCATAACTATGTATTTAATGTGTTTCAATAATACCCAGGAGTAGAGAAGAAGATTTTCAAAGAATTAATGCATTTTCACTATATAATCAATAGAGCCCCACCCTAACACCAGAACCCCTGACCCAGGGGCCATGAAATTCACAATTTTGAAAGAGGCACTCTTGCTCATCATAACTATGTACTTAGTTACTGAATTTAATACCCAGGAGCAGAGAAGAAGATTTTCAAAGGATTAATGCATTTTCACTATATAATCAATAGAGTCCCGCCCTAACACCAGAACCCCTGACCCAAGGGCCATGAAATTCACAATTCTGGAAGAGGCACTCTTGCTCATCCTAACTATGTACTTAGTTAGTTTATTTAATATCCAGGAGCAGAGAAGAAGATTTTCAATGAATTAATGAATTTTCACTATATAATCAATAGAGCCCCACCCTAACACCAGAACCCCTGCCCCTGGGGCCATGAATTTCACAATTTTGGAAGAGTCACTCTTACTCATTATAACTATATACTTAGTTAGTTTATTTAATACCCAGGAGCAGAGAAGAAGATTTTCAATGAATTAATGAATTTTCACTATATAATCAATAGAGCCCCGCCCTAACACCAGAACCCCTGCCCCTGGGGCCATGAATTTCACAATTTTGGAAGAGGTACTCTTTCTCATCATTACTATATACTTAGTTAGTTTATTTAATACCCATTTTCAATGAATTAATGCATTTTCACTATATAATCAATAGAGCCCCACCCTAACACCAGAACCCCTGCCCCTGGGGCCATGAATTTCACAATTTTGGAAGAGGCACTCTTACTCATTATAACTATATACTTAGTTAGTTTATTTCATACCCAGGAGCAGAGAAGGAGATTTTCAATGAATAAATGAATTTTCACTATATAATCAATAGAGCCCCGCCCTAACACCAGAACCCCTGCCCCTGGGGCCATGAATTTCACAATTTTGGAAGAGGTACTCTTACTCATCATTACTATATACTTAGTTAGTTTATTTAATACCCAGGAGCAGAGAAGAAGATTTCCAAAGAACTAATGCATTTTCACTATATAATCAATAGAGCCCCACCCTAACACCAGAACCCCTGCCCCTGGGGCCATGAATTTCACAATTTTGGAAGAGTCACTCTTACTCATCATAACTATATACTTAGTTAGTTTATTTAATACCCAGGAGCAGAGAAGAAGATTTTCAAAGAAATAATGCACTTTCACTATGTGATCTATATAGCCCCGCCCTAGCACCAGAACCCCTGACCCTGGGGCCATGAATTTCACAATTTTGGTAGAGGACTCAATGCTTATTACAATGATGCCAACAGTTTGACTGCTTGATGTCCAGGAGTAAAGAAGAAGATTTTTAAAGATTGCATTAATTTTGGTGGTTTTAGCCCCACCCCTCAGGCCCCAGGGGGGCAGGGACCATGAAATTAATAATTTTTGTTCCCCTTCACCCATAGATGCTATATGCCAAATTTAGTTGAAATTGGTTGAGCGGTTTCAGAGAAGAAGCTAAAAATGTTCAAATGTTAACGCACATCGCACGTCGCACGACGATGGACAAAAACGGATAGCAATAGGTCACCTGAGTGACTCAGGTGACCTAACAAAAAGGGGAGGGGGGAGGGACCACCCTTTCAATAAACATTTTCAATAGTAAAAGGTTAGGTATGGGATAAGTGGGGGCAGACTACCCCCTGCTCACCCCCACCCCCTGATACTACGTGCCTGCTGGTGAGGGCCCAGAAGCTCCGAGTTTTACAAAATATTTCATTCATTTTCTTGCAAAATATAAATATTGTCAGTTAGCTTTTGTTTAGAAAATAAAAGACGTTAAATTAATATTTATTGTTTTAGCGCAAAGTTAATACTTCCATTGAATCTTATTGTATAAACGTAGTTTAGGCTAAATATTTAACCGATATATTGGTATCACATACTCTTTTTAAACGTTCAAAAACACGTATACTAAATATTAATTATTAACAAAAAATATCGCAATATAAATCATATACAAGTAGATTATAGCATTCAACGATGTGTTTGAAATTTAATTTTTAAAAGATATTTTTAAAAAATTATCAGTGTATTAAACAACAATTAAAAATTAATGAATGATTTATTTGGATTTGGCAATGATTTAATAAAGGATTTCAAATCGAAACAGTATGACACAAACACGGATATTTGTTGGATGGTACAGAACGGAGATTTTTTTTTCTTCGAATACCGCCCCCCTTCTCTCCCCCCTTTTTTTTGGAAAATGATGTGTACGCACTTGGGTATTTGCGTATAGGCAGCTACGCCCCTGGGGTTAATTATTTTATTTTACAAGCGTAATAGTTTTAAGGCCAAATATTCCAGCTGCGACTAGTCTGTTAACTTATTTGTGTATCATAGTGGCACAGACGAACAGACATTCCATTCATACTCGGGCAACAACGCTCATTTTCAGGTATGGACGTACTTTGGATTCTACAAAATGAAAGAAAAACCAGCTGGACTAGATAAAACGCTCTATCGTTAAAGTGATATTGTCCTAAGGACAAGGGGTTGTTCCGAGACACAGTTAGATTCTAACTACAGCTGGAACAACACAGAAAGTAGTTATTCACCCATTCCTACCATTTTATAAACTAAATTGACAGACTTAGTAAATGTTCGATTATAATTGATAATTAGTTAGTTACATTAGTACGATCATCGATTATGAAATTCTTACCTATTCCCATCACTACAAATAATTATAAAACGTCGACAAATTTCTGGGTGACTATTTTCAAATCATCAGTACGTACATTCACTCACTATGCCGTATATGATCACCAAACAGAATCAATGCACAACCTGCGGTTTCTGTATTTCGTGTAATATGTATGATATGGGATGAGAGATTAAACAGTGGATATTCTACCTCTTATAATAAAGATATATTCATTTGCATATTCAAGGGTAAAAAGGCTATAAGTCATTAAGTGTTGAACACACAAGCACCTGCATCAATCACAACTGGAAATGAGTAGTTTAAAATAAATTTAAAACCTGTCATGGTTGTTCATCTGTGTGACGTAAAATTTCAGAACAAAGTGTGATAATTTTGATTTATCAATAATAATTTTGAATTGAAATTACTTATAAATATTTTAATAATCTAAAGAATTAGTTTTACCGTAAAAATTATTTTTTCTATTATATTACAATTTATTTGAAGCATCCGGAAATTCACAAGTTATTCATACTTGCTTAATTTGGTTCATCTTTCAAACATCCTGTTACTTTCACTTTTAAATTTTAACATGTACATAAATCTCTGTACATTTCTGATTTGTGTGAGTATTGTTTAACGAATCTTTAAACTGTTCATTATTCGAAAATCCTAAAACATTACTTATCCATTGTTATTTTAAATGATTTAACTGTTCCTTGTCAATCTTCCTAACTTTTAGTTTACAACTTGGACGTACTATTTGCACATCTTTTTCTTATACTGATTACATGTAGTGATTTACGTCTCTTCAGGTTTTGTCACTGTTGTCATCGTCGTCATGTGCAAGACATTGTCCTAGAGACAGATCCAGAACTGTTCGCAGGTTGCTAAAAGAAGTGAGTTTTAAAGCTAAAATCATATGTATCAGATATATTAAACGCTAGCTTGTAATATGTGTTAGCTACTCTTCTCGAAATAGTTAAAATTGTAGTGGTCTGGACCATGGATACTGGTGTGGGTAGGTCAGTGGATAGAGCACTTAACTAGTAAGGAAGGGGTCCCAGGTTCGATTCCCTGTCCAGCCATGAATTTTCTCCGTTCCTGTTAGTACATTGCTGACTACTGTATCTAGAATTCAAGAATGTATTGATTTAGGTTATGTGAAATAGGGAAGTTGGCTTGTGTGGCTTAGTGATTTGAGTACCTGACCACTAATGCAGGGTTCCTGGGTTTAATTTCCAGTCCAGCCATAAATTTTCTCCTGTCATATGTTACATTTGAAGCTGTCTTACAAAGGGAGAAATGTAATGATTTGGGCTACATAGACCATGGATCAGTTATTTAGGCCTCCAGGTAGCTTAGTGGATAGAGCACCTGACTAGTAATGCAGGGATCCCAGGTTCAATTCTCAGACCAGCAATAAATTTTCTCCTCTCCTTTTACATAATAATATTAATGTCAATTGAGATGTTATTAAATGGTTAAATAACAAATAAGGAATGGCTAAAATCGTCATCATTTTAGACACACAGTGTAAAAAGATTGTATCAATTCACAAACTCTGAAAAGTATGACATAAAACAGAGATTTAGTTTTTTTTTAATGTCACATTGGTGTTGTTTATTTTATAAATACTTTAGATAGAATGTTCTATCGTTAAAATTATAAATGTCCTATGGACCCGGTTTAACGATAGAATGCATTCCGTGTATTGTCTATGTAGCAAAGAAAATATGGGAGATAACTCTAACTCAGTGCATTTACTATGAAAAATCCTGAGAGTTCCGAATGTCAACATAGTGTGTAAATTTGAAACGAGTAAAAAACATTGGTGAAAAAGTGTTGAATTCTTCCATTATATGGATTCAGTTTTTAGATGAAAGGTATTTACAGTCTCAAAAAGGTTTGTTATGATTAATTTGACTGTTATTTTCAATGCAACTTCATTAATTTTCTCCAAAATCGTTTCGGAGCGATGCTGCAATTTTCTGCTTCATTACAGGTATACAGGAGGCATTCTAACTGTGGTGAGGGCCTGTCCTGAGACACAGTTAGATTATCACTGAAACATGGTGTTTGTTGGATGTAATTGGCAGAATAAGACACATTGGCCAGATACATGTAATCACAATTAAGTACTATTGTCAAAACAATAATACATGTATTTTCTTTTCAGGTTATTTATCCTCTATTTCAACAAGCCAAGACCAGTATACCTGACACCTGTCAGTTTTCCCCAGAGAGAGATAAATATGTATTGCAAGAAGAGAACAAAGTTTCTGAAGGAATTTCCAAGTGGTATTGTGACTACTGCGGAAAGGGCTTCTACGCTGAAGATTATTTAGATCGACATTTTGACAACAAACATCCAGAATTTGTCAGAGAAGTATGCACATGCATGTACAAATAGAAGTTTATGCTTGCATGTTGTTATTAATTTTTAATGACCTCAAATAGGTGATAATTTAAAACTTTACATTTGTAGATTGATTTACATGAACACAGTTACCTCTATTTCACAGTCTTACCATAATTGCGTTTTTTTTTTAAATTTGTCTTAAGGGCCTCAAACAAGAAAGTTGATTCAAACTCTAGTTGTGATTAATTTGCTCCCTGCACTTTTCATATTTTATCTCAGGAAATTGATACAATGCAGTCATTTCAGGAAACTATTGCAATTTGACAAGAATATATTTACTACTTTCAAGAATTTGCTCTCATTGAATTTTTAATAATAATGAGTTAAAGTATCCCAAGGAGTTTAAGTAATTGCAAATTATGCCCCAAAAGTAGATAATATATATATATTCTTCTGTATATGAAATAGATGTGTTATTGACTGTAGTCTGTACAGGGTTCAGTAAGTCCTTTCATGCGTTTCTAAGAAAACAAACAGTTTATGGCACTCTAGACCTAGAATATTACATAAAATCACAAATGTTTGAATGTCTCAAACATGGTTACCAATGGTCTTGCTGTAATTTCTAGCTATCCTGTAAGAGTACATGTTGTGAGTGCAGTTTAAGAAAAGTGAAATTAATTCAAATATTTGATAATCAGTATTTGATATTCAGTAAATATGATTTTGAATATCAATAGGACAAGTCTGCTGTCTGCTTTGCTGACTACTGTGACATCATGAGATGTGACATCCTCGACGGCAGGAGGAGAAAGGAATTCTGGGATGTTTCTTTATGTCTCGAGAGTGATATGAAAGAACTAATGGAAGACTGTGAGGTAGTGTATCAATTCTAAGGCTAGGAAAGGACTTTTCTTTTTATCACCTTTAATAAATACGTATCTTTATATTATTTGTTTAAAAAATAATATAAAGATGCATATTTATGATTCTGCTGATGCACTTTCGGAGCTCACTTGAGTCTTAGCTCACGCGAGTCTAGTTCACGCTGGTGATATGTCAAAATTTGTCTCCTTTGTCTCTCTGTTTGTTAGATATAATTGAAAAAATAACTTTTTAAAACATTTTCTCACAGGAACAAAGTTAAAATTTATCGATCAATTTGTAAGTGTCTTTATGACCTTTGATTCAAGATTATATGGTGGTCCTGTAGGTCAGGATTGAGGTTGAAATATGTTTCAAGACTTACTTAAAAATAAATGACAAATCTTATTTGCTTGATATCCAAGCATCTATAATACATACATGCATCTATTGATAAAAAAATTTTAAAAGCAGGGGTTTGGAATTATTTTGGAGCAATAATCCTTGTACACTCGTCACTTAGAAAAGTGTCTCAGGTCGGTCAGCAAGTGTTGTGTACCTCTTGCATATAATTCAGTTTGTAACTTTTTGGTCCATTGTAACAGGAAAGGAGAAAAATGGAATGGACCAGGCTGGGATTCAAACCCTGGCCTCCTGAATATCCAGTTAGGT